TTGAGATGGAGTCTCACTCTGTCACCCAGGCTGGAGTGCAGTGGTGCAATCTCAGCTTATTGCAGCCTTAGCCCCCCAAGTAGCTGGGATTACAGGCACGTTCCACCACGCTTGGCTAATTTTTGTGTGTTTTTTTTTAAAAGGGTTTACAAAAGAGTTTTACCGTGTTGGCCAGGCTGGTCTCAAACTCCTACCTCAAGTGATCCATCTGCGTTGGTCTCCCAAAGTGCTGGGATTACAGGCTTGAGCCACTGTGCCCGGCCCACTTTCCAAATCTTTAACTCTGTATTATTCATTCATTTAGTAGATGTTTAATGAGTGCCTACTAAATGTCAGGCACTGTTATCGATTGTTGCTCTTACATTGTCCGTACAGGTTGAGCACCCCACATGAGAAAATCCAAAATCCCAAATGCTCCAAAATCCACAAAACTTTATGAGCACTGACATGATGCTGAAGGTGAATGCTCACTGGAGCATTTTGAATTTCAGATGTTGGATTTTCAGATTTGGGATGCTCAACTATAAGTAATGGTGCAGATTTTCCAAAAACTGAAAAAAATTTGAAATCCAAACACTTCTGGTCCCAAGCATTTTGGATAAGAGATACTCAGCCTGCATTTCTGATGGATTATATGTGTATGTATTTTTAGTTAGGAGTAAGATAAAGATGAAATATCTTGCTTTCTTCCTTTCTAAAAAGGATGTTTTGGTTTCTTGTGATCTTTGGTTCCTTGTGACCTTTTAATTCTATCTTTGCTTTTCCTCAGAGGCAGCCCCAAATGAGTCAGATCAAATGTCAGAAGTGGAAGCCTTATCTGTGGAACTTAAGCATTACATTCAGGAGGATAACTGGCGATTTGAGCAAGAAGTAGAGGAGTGGGAAGAAGAGCAATCTTGCAAAATCCCTCAAATGGAGTCCTCCACCAACTCCTCATCACAGGACTTCTCTACATCACAAGGTATCTGAGAAGGCATTTATGCCAGAGATATAGTAACATTTCATGCTGTATTCCCCTAGCCAGCCCTATGCCCTTCAGATGGTTAGGTGATGCCACAGCCTTCACAGTATATTTCATATGCAGTTGTTATGGCAGGCACAACCTAGTGGAATGAATTGTGGCATTAGAATGTGATTTCTGATGAAGAGAAGTAATATCAGAAAGAACTACCTGTGACTTTCACTGTGTATATGGTTTTGCTTATTTCCCAGGTTATGGGAGAAACTATGATAAGATTAATAGGTAGACTTTATGAAAACCATTCTCCAAAGGTGATCTTCCTAACAGATGCTTGTTTGTAGAAAGTTTTCTTAATGTGTAGAAATATGACAAAGTTGGGTGCGCATTAATTTTACAGACTTATCAGTGGGTTCAAAGTTTACAGACTTTTATCAGAGTTCTTGCTGAAGTAGCCATTTCTTGTAGTTATTGCTTTCTAGGGAAAACCTGCATAGGCTTTGTAAAAAGCTGTTAGCAGGGTTGTATATTAAACTGTATCCATTCTGCTTGCTTTTTATCTGAGTATTCTAGACTATTTATCATCAGATGCTAAGACCTTTGTATAATTCTTTATCAGAGCCTTCAGTAGCCTCTTCTCATGGGGTTCGCTGCTTGTCATCTGAGCATGCTGTGATTGTAAAGGAGCAGACTGCCCAGGCTATTGCAAACACAGCCCGTGCCTATGAGAAGAGCGGTGTAGAAGCAGCACTGAGTGAGGTGAGAATGACTGGGAAGCCCAAGTTCAGGAGGGCCAGGCTTTCAGCAGCAATGGTCAGTTTTCTTACATTTCTTTTATTCTGTGTCTCTGCTGCATTTAACCAACCCCTTTTTATTTCTCCTGTTTTTTCTTACTCTTTCTCCCCACTCTGCTGCCATAGCTTAAAGAAGCTGAACCCAAGAAGCCCATGCCCCAGGAAACAAACTTTGCAGAGCAGTCAGAGCAGCCTCAAAAGGCTAATGATGCAGAGTCTACTGCCCAGCCTAATTCTGAGGTCTCTGAAGTCGAGATTCCCAGTGTGGGAAGGATTCTGGTTAGATCTGATGCAGATGGATATGATGAGGAGGTACAGAGATGAGTGCAGGATTTAGCTGTTTGTTGTCGGTCTTCTATTTCCTTCTCTTGTTACTATATTAAGGTATCTGCCACTAGCTGATGTTTTCTCATTGCAACAAATAATTGTCAAGAAAGCCTATTTTGTTTTGACCTTATGAAAGATAGTCGTGTTTCTACTGTTAGTGCTCTCAGCATGTGTATATTTACCCAGGCTTGTACTTAACAGGGCCACTGCAGAGTCTAGATTGCTCAGAAGGGTAAAATTTAGTTCCCTTTTTGTTATTTTGGACAAAAGATTGCCTTCTAATTTAAAGTAGGGAATCTTTGTTTTGGATATTAGTCCATTGTTTTTTCTCCAGATATAAATTTTTCAGTTGTACAGTGAGCTGAACAAATGTGGATTTAAGTTATTTTTAGTTCTAAAGCTTTAGGAAGAAGCTATAGAACCCCAAGTTATTTGTTGTCTGTCTCCTCTTCAGTTGCATTGCACGTAAACAGTAATGAATTCTGTTTCTCAGATTTCTTTTTTCTTTTCCCTGTGAGGTATTTAAAACAAACAAAAAAATCATTGAAAAGGTAATTCTGTAATTTACAGGCTCATGCCTGTAATCCCAGCCCTTTGGTAGGCCAAGGTGGGTGGATCACCTGAGGTCAGGAGTTTAAGACCAGCCTGGCCGATGTGGTGAAACCTGTTTCTACTAAAAATACAAAAATTAGCGAGGTGTGGTGGCGCACACCTGTAATCACAGCTACTTGAGAGGCTGAAGCAGGAGAACTGCTTGAACCCAGGAGGCAGCAGTTGCAGTGAGCCGAGATCACACCATTGCACTCCAGCCTGGGGGACAGAATGAGACTCCATCTCCCAAAAAAAAAAAAATCCTTGAAAGTTTTTCTTTATGGAGTCATATTTATATAGTCCCTAGTATCCAGACTATTTTAAATACACTGTTCATCGTAGTAAAACTGTGAAGTATTTGTGTGTTTAAGATACACACCCAAAGTACAGAACTAAATTGGAATTCTGACCTTAGACACTTCCCCTCCGAGAACTATAATTTAACTTAATTCTTCAGCAGTACCATATTGGGAGATATTTTTAGGCATACATCTTTCTTCATCCTACTGAGTTAGAACATATAGTTTAGGAATAGCTTGTCTTGGGCAGGGTGTTGACATCATCTAGAAGGACAGAAGTGGTGGGTGCACATAGGAACACTGCTCTGCTGCCCTTTAGCAATCTGTTCAGCCTACTTTCGTACAGTCTTCTGCTGAACCTTTCTTCTCTCCTTTTTCTCTGTGTTTTGTGCCCCTTTGTGGTAGGTGATGCTGAGCCCTGCCATGCAAGGGGTCATCCTGGCCATAGCTAAAGCCCGTCAGACCTTTGACCGAGATGGGTCTGAAGCAGGGCTGATTAAGGTATCTCTGTTTTTAAAATTCTAATTCTTACAGCACAGGCATCATAATATTGGGGAAATAATTCTGTAATAAGGGGAAAAATGGGTTTAAGGCTGGGCATGGTGGCATGTGCGTGTAGCCCTAGCTACTTAGGAGGCTGAGGTAGAGGATCACTTGAGCCCAGGAGTTAGAGGCTGCAATGCACTTTGATTGCACCACTGTACTCCAGCCTGGGCAACCTAAGAGATCCCATCTCTTAAAAAAAAAAAAAAAAAAGTCTGGGCATAGTGGCTCACACCTGTAATTTAGCACTCTGGGAGGCCCAGGAGGGAGGCCTGCTTGAAGCCGGAAGTTCAAAACCAGCCTGGTCAACATAGTGGAATTTTTTTTTTTAATTAGCTGGACATGGTAGCATACGCCTGTAGTCCCAGCTAATTTGGAGGCTGAGGCAAGAGGATCATTTGAGCCCAGGTGTTCAAGGCTGCAGTGAACCATGATTGTGCCACTACATTCTAGCCTGGGTAACAGAGTGAGACCCTGTCTCCAGAAAATT